TGGAAAACCAAGCAACTGATGAAGGGTCTAGGTTATACATTCTAAGCTTTTCAATAATAATAGAGTGATCCACATAGTCAAAAGCTTTAGGGTGATCAAAGAAAATTGAACCACATACATTGTATTTCATTTTTGTCAATAGCTGTAATCCAATCATCAATAATTCTTATCAATGCAGTTTGACATGAATGATTTGAACTGAATCCAGACTGACGTTGGTATAGAAGTTGAATTTTCTCAAGGTATTGCTTTAAATGTGAACTGACATGACGTGCAAGAATAAGTGATATCAAGGGAAGTATGGAAATTGGCCTATAATTTCTTTTATCATTTTTAGAACCCTTTTTGTGTAATGGAATGACTTAGGATGTATAGGAATGGAATTTTTGAATGATTTAGGAAATGTATTGTTTAGAATGCTATTATTGAATATAGTGGTAAGTATGAGGGCAATAATATGGGCCGATAACTTTAGAAACCTTGCACTGAGACCATCTGACCCACATGACTTTGTAATATCAATTGATTTTAATTGGTTCAACACATAAGTCAGCTCTATTTTAGGTATTTTGAAAGGGGGTATATGCTGAAGTTTAGATGCATTTAGTTCAACAAGCTCAGGATTTTCATAACCATTCTGATTAATGGTATAATGGGATTGGTGGAGATTCGCAAATTGCCTGTTAAATAAATTTACAGTGATAAAAGGGTCAGTAACAGGGTTGCCATCATCATCATAATCAATAAAATGTGTTTGAACCTTGGATTTGTAATCAGATAATTTATTTAGACCAGTCCATAATTTCTTTGGGTTGTGTTTGTTTTGATTGATGGTATCATTATAATATTGTCGCTTAAAATCAAATATGAGAGATTTAACGTGTTCCATATGTTGTAATTATATGCGTCATTAACTCTATGAAACTGGTGTTTTGTTTTAATAGCATCGTGGTTGTTTTTATTAATCCAGTTAAGTTGGGTGACCTTCTTTACTCGTTTTTCCTGGTTGGTGCATGTTTTTCAAGGACAGACAAAAATTTGTCAGTGAACAAATCTATAGAGTTATCTTGTTTTTCTACAGATACTACTTCCGACCAGGGTTGCTCTGACAATTCGGTTAAAAATCGATATTCATCAAAGTGTTTAAGAGACCAGAAGGTTATTGTCTTATGCATGGGACCTTTAACACTGATGTTTGAAAGTTTGCGTGTAAGACAAATTGTTAAATGGTCACTAATGGATAAGGAAGGTACAAAAACATCGACTATATTTTGAGGCATGTTTGAAAATGCATGATCTATTAATGTAGCAGAGCTTAGGAGATTCAACAAGCTGGGAAAAGTTTACAGACTGCTTTAGATCTAACCAAGATTTAGAACAATTATCATGCTTAAAAATATCATAGTTAAAATCTCCAATAACAATACATTCTTTTTCCTCTAAATATGATTTTTCTAAAGATAAAGCAAAATTATCAAGCCACTCAACTTTAGAAGATGGTGGTTTGTATGCATAACACAATAATAACGATTTACGCTGTTTAAGTTCAAGCCAAATGGATTCAATAGAAATACTTTCTAAATCAGATCTATGTACAAAAGATAAACAGTCGCTAACATAAATAACTAAACCGCCTCCATTGAAAGACCTGTCCTTGCGAAAAAGTGTAAAATTGTCCAACTGTAGTTCATTGTCTAGAAATTTTACATTTAGAAACGTTTCACATAAAGAGAGTTTATCACACACCCGTGCCGATTTTGCGACTCCGTAAATATGGTATTGCACGGCCGTGCATATATTTTGACGTGACGTCATTAGCGTTATACAAACATAGTGTAAAGACGCGCTACAGTAAATGTTAGCGTTATACTATAGGCGCGTCAATGAAAAATGACTCTTATTTCACTTAAAACGGTCTTTCTTTTGGGTATGTGATAAATAGAATATTAAATTCGTGTAAGTTTATTACTGAATTTATTGCACTCGTTGTATAAAATAATATTATGCTCGCCAGAGGCTCGCATAATATAATTTTATTCAACTCGTGCAATAAATTCAGTATTGAACTTACACTCATTCAATATCCTCTATATATCAATCTTTTGTTCCGAAATTATAATTTTGAGTTCGTCTAATTTTGGATTGTCATTTACCAGCGTAATAACACTGCATGAAAAATGCCTCATAGATTAAGAAAAGTGTCAAAGGAAACACTTTATGTATATAAAATATGTTGTTTTTAGCTCTACTACAGATTACAAATGTTTTTTTCACAACTGTTGCTCATTCGAAGTACACAAATTGATGCAGACGTTGAAAATCAACAACATAAAAATATAAGTAAAGGGAAGTAACTGTCATTCAATTCATAAATGATTAAGCCTACGGTTAGCTCAAAGTCCTGTAATATTTCACTTTGTACGTTGCTCGTTGAAATGGAGAAGCGCGTTGCGCAAGACGTCGCGCGGTGAAATGGAGAATTATGTTGCGCTGTGAAATGGGGAAGTATGTTGCGCGGTGAAATGGGGAAGTATGTTGCGCTGTGAAATGGGGAAGTATGTTGCGCTGTGAAATGGGGAAGTATGTTACGCAGTGAAATGGGGAAGTATGTTGCGCTGTGAAATGGGGAAGTATGTTGAGCAGTGAAATCAATAACTAGCCCCGCGTTCACTAAGATTTAAGGATCAGGATAAAGATCATGATCAAACATTCTCCATATTTTATCCCCTTTAATCCTTGAATATACTCTTTAATGCGGATGCTTTATGCTATGATTTTAATGATTGATCCTTGCAATTCTAATGCAGGTTCATCAAAAATAACTGCAACTGATTTCTTTCTTAAAGTATTTTCTTTTGTTATTTATAATGAAAATCTATAAAATTAAAACAATCGTAGTGGCATCTGCCATAACAAATATTTTCTGCGTAAACTTATCTGTTTTCTTTATTTTTTGCGCGGAATTATTCACACAATGGTATTTTTTTTAAATAATTGTTTTATTTCACTTAAATACAAAAAAACACATTCGGAACGTTATTACAATCAATTTATGAATGTTGAGACGGATAACCTTCTAATCGATACTCTCAGTACCTCGACACTCTCAGTACCTCGACACTCTCAGTACCTCGACGGTCACCGGTTCTTCTTTTGATCAATTATTTCCGACTATATTCTGAACAATACAAACGCTTTTTTTCAAAACTATTTTGAAAAGAGTTGAATGAAATACTTTAAAATTTAATATTTAAAATTTCCTCCGCAGGAAACCATTTTAACTTGTATCGTTACATATTTTGTTATCGGGGAAAATCAGTTTAGATCTAGACTGCCGAGAATCTAGAAGTAAGTAAGAATCTAATTGAATCGGTACCTGGTACTTGCATAATGATACTCGATCTGTCATAACCATGGGGGAGGAATTGTTACATGGGGGATGGAGTTCTTATAATAACTTATCAGGAGTTCTTCTCATAACTGTCACGAAGTGCGTCGGAAATATTTTGTTTATATTATTTTATAAATTATTTTATATTTTGTATCACCCGTCAAAAATGGTAATTTATTTCCTTTTTAAAAAAGAGAGTTTGAGGTGCTTAATTAAACTTTGATTGTTAAGCTTGACTTGCATGTTGTATAATGTGTTAGAAAAGAAATTATAGTTCATTTTTCATCGCCTGTTGTTTAAAATCTAATAGTTTTTGGTAAAATTTCCAAATTATTTGCAAATTGACCTGTTCATTTGTGATTGTCTTCCTTGACATACTATATTATATTGGAAAGTTGCAAACATAAAGCCTCAGCTAACAAATTTATGACCTTTTTTCAAATGTCCTGGAATGTTCTTCTGATAACTTTGAACATGTCCTAGAGTTCTTTTGTTACTGTCAGTGTATGAGTTATACGTTGTACATTATGATAATTATGGATTTGATGAAACACAAGTAGAATTCTATTCTGGTACCTTGCTTTATACCCGATTTATTTTTCGATTCTGATTCCTTGAATTTAAGTTCACACATAGACGCCGCTTCTACTACGATCAAAGCATGGCCGAGTACTCCCCCGTGGTTATGAAAGGAAGAAAGAAAAGATCGAGTATCATATGCAATCACAGTATGCTCGCGGTAAGATGTTTATGATCAAAACAAGCGTAGCGGGATCGTGGCCAACAAGAATCGTAAAAAGAGCGTAATAGAAGCGCCTTTATCGTACAAGCAGTGCAGAAGCATCGTGGAAAGATCTTCTTCGCATCGTTTTAAAGGCGCAGTAAAGGCGTAGTACAGTCTAGAACATACCGAGTACGCTCCTACAACGCTCGGGACCACTACGTTCTTACTGCATACGTTACCAATCTGTACGTTCCTGACGATCCTACAAAGACCGACATTTACCCAACGCCGATCATACCGCGAGGTATGTCAGGCAGCAGTTTGTTTTTATATTTCAACCAAACAGTTGTTCCAGCTGAAGTAAGGAAAAGATCAGCATTGATACGTCAGTTCATTTTGAAGTATGGCAAAATGTCAAATATAATGTTTGAAATGCAAGATATATAAACATCATCGCCGAAATCGTATAAGAAGCGTAGTGCAAACGTAATATGGTCGGCACCACCGTAGCGATATCGGCGTACTAGGTCTGCGTAACATCGTAGTAGCGTGTCAGCAGCGCGTTGGACGTGGGAGCATCGTAGTACGGTTGCAATGAAGACCATAATTTGCCAAATTGCTCAATTTTGAGGCCGGTCCAACCCGTCAATTTTCAGGCCGGTCCGCTCCGATCCGCCCCGATCCAATACTTTCTCAGATCCTGGCTTGATCGGTATGATCGTCTTAAAGTCGCAGTTATTAAAAACGTTTTTTTCTTCTTTTTTTTTTAAATTCTTTTTTTTTTAAACTCAAATTGGGCTCAGAATACCCAGAATATCGATTTTCCATTTGCAATTCTATCTTTATCATCTTTTCATAATGTTTCGTTTTAAGTGCTTTATTTGAACTATGTTAAGGCCTCAACAGACGATAGGGTTTAAATGTACAGCATCAATTATAGATAAGATGTACAGTTTTCAAATTAATACAACACCTGCATTCAGACGGTAATTCTAGGTAATTCTATATCGTATGAATCATCACGTTTCCCACCTAATAACATTTCCCTCCAAAATGGATACTTTGCAGGATTTTGACAATATTATTACTGGAATATGTGTTATTGTTATAATTGCTGGTATTAACCAACTAAGGAGAGATCGTTTAAGAGGTAGACAATGGGTCCGGCCATGGATAGCAAGGAGGGAGCAATTGGGGGCTTACCATGCACTTATGGAAGAGCTGAGTCAGGAGGACCCACATTCATATAAGAATTTTGTGAGAATGGACAAAGCTGCGTTTTCCGAGTTGTTAGATCTTGTGACTCCACTTATCAAAAAGAAGGACACCTTAATGAGGAATTCAATTTCTCCAGCAGAGCGGTTAGCCCTGACACTACGTTTTCTTGCTACAGGTTATTAATTTTCTTATTTTCTTTATTATTCCATTATTATTTAATATACCTATTTAAGTAAAACAATTGGTATAAATAATACATATAATGTGATATTGATTTGTTAAACTTTATTAAGAATAATAGTAATACATATTATGTACTAGATATTGATTATTGATTATTTCATACTTTTGCATAGGTGACAGTTATACAACACTTCAATACCTCTACAGAATTCCTTTGACTACTGTCTCAGAGATTATCCCAGAAACTTGCCAGGCAATATACAATGTTCTTAGAAACACATATCTGAAGGTAATTATTTTCTATTGATATGTTCTATCACTTGTATTTATTTGTACATTATATAAAAGCAGTTTAATTGCAAGTGAACATTTTTGAAGCTGACAAAATTATATAAGCTACTTTGCTGATATCTCTGGTTGGGTGTTGGATGTTTAAAGGTTAGTGTAAATGTAATTGTATGGCGGTTGAGAAAATTCATTTGAATCACTGTCATTGAATGAAGGGAGACTTGAACTTCTTTGCACCCCTGACTGAAGTGAAGGTGTCTGTGGGCTCAGAGGTCTCCATATCCGTTGAGTTGCAGTGCTACGTCCAGAATCTTGAACTGGTAGCCTCGTATGCTCCCCCTGGGCATCAAAAATTACTGTTTGAAGTTTCAGCCGTACAGCATTTTTAACTGAAGGGTTCTTAATTTTCCTGAGCTCATTTACTAAGTATTTCCCAAAAACTGAATCTTCGTCTTCTTCATTCGGAACATCAGTTCTCGGTGTTCTTTGACCCATGTTATTTTTAAGCTGGGATAACACAGAAACGGCTTCAGCCATTACAGCGGATGGACCAGTTTTCTGCCTCTTTAGTTTAGAAGTGCCAGAATTCTGGTTATCTTCTGTCTCCACAGTCTCTCTATCATCAGTCTGATCTTCGTCTTGTTCTTCAGTCTGTGAGTCCTGAAATAAAAAATTGTTTTTATTTACTTTGCAGGTACCAGACACGCAACAAGAATGGCAACATATTGCAACTCGTTTTGATGAAAGGTGGCAATTCCCAAATTGCATTGGTGCTATAGATGGTAAACATGTGTCTATAAAGTGCCCAGCAAACAGCGGATCACTGTATTACAATTACAAACATTTTTTCAGTGTCATTTTATTAGCTATTGTTGATGCAGATTACAACTTCTTGTATGTTGACGTAGGCAGTGCAGGGAGGTCAAATGACAGTGGAGTTTTTTGCAATTCCAAGCTGTATGAACTGCTTGAAATTAATCAACTCGGAGTTCCACCTCCTAAACCTTTGCCTGGCAGAGATGTGAGTGTTCCCTATGTCATTGTTGGAGATGATGCTTTCCCTTTAAAGAATTACCTTTTGAAACCTTATCCTAACAGACAGCTTAATGTTGACAAAAGGATTTTTAACTACAGACTGTCAAGAGCTAGACGAATATCAGAAAATGTGTTTGGAATCTTGACAAGCCGATTTAGAATTTTCCAGCGGCCTATATCCTTAGAACCAGCAAAGGCATGTTTTGTTGTGCTTGCAGTGTGTGCCCTTCACAATTTTCTCAGGGCGAAACAATCTTCAAGGAATTTGTACACTCCTCCAGGAAGTTTTGATGAGGATGAAAGGCCTGGGGAATGGAGAAACGAGACAAGACCTAATTCAGTTTCTAATTGTGCACAACAGTCGGGAAATAGAAATTCAACAGATGCCCGTAATGTCAGAGATGAATTTTGTGACTATTTCAATACAAATGGACAAGTACCATGGCAATGGGAGTTAGCTTAAAAATTTTCTTCTTACCATGTTGCTTAAAGACTGTCGTGGTGTTATCTGACAATGGAGAAAAACATCAAGACTCTCAAAGTGAGACCACTTGCTTTTGTAAACATCATCAGTCCCTGCCCCACTTTTTGTCGATTTTCTTACTTTAGCCAGTTCCTTTGCATAGTAAGAGCGAATGTGCTTAATTTTGGTATTGATTTCTTCCACTGAAATGTAATGAAACACCTGTATGATTTTTGCCAAATCAGTATTCAATATTACATATTAAATTACAAATTACATATAAAACGACAATTACATTAGCATTGTTTAGGAATGATATTAAATGATATTTAATTAGACTTTTAAAATGTAAGTAGTATTACAAATGTACCAGTGTAATAAAAACATAAAAAATAATAATATTCACCTGTGTATTTATCTTCTAACCCCTCCTTTACAGTTTCCAAACTCCTCAACCTATAATCTTTTTTAGAGTAATTTGCACTTTTAATATCCCATAAATCCGGTTCTGCATGAAAAAGTTCAATGAGTTTTTCAACATCTTCTTTACTCCACTGCGCCATTTTTATTCACAACTTTGTTTACATTTTAGCCCTAATTGTTCTGGAATTTCATTCATTAAACCCATTATCAGCAGATAATTTGGTAATCTGTTACTTGTCAATGCGGGAGGTCTGGAGAAAACTGTACGGCAAGATTTTCAAAATAGAACATGTCCTATCCCTTACATCTTGACATGAGGTTTCCGAAATCAAGAAATAGTAGCCTTCACACATTAAGATTTGTCTTTACATCTTAGTTTTAATTGGTGTTGTACTTCAAAATCCTACCGTCTGTTGAGCCCTTTAGTAATGGGGTTATAACACAGGCTGGGGCGACATCTCGGGATGTTTCTGCAAAAAAAAATTGTCTCGGCCTAATGTACTCGACATTGTTTTAGCAAAACACCTCTTGATGTCGCCCCAGCCAGCGTTATATCCTTGTAACTAACTCGTTTCATGTACTATAACTATTACTTAACAACTGGCCAACATAAATTTAATCCGCCTGCAGGCAGATATAAGTGGTCAAAAAACCGTGAAAATTACCGCTAAATATGAGGTGATGAAATCTACAGGATTCAGTGAATGTTTCAGGTAAACGACATGCCTAATTGTCCTTTACTTAACATAGCTTTATTCTATTATGTTACTGATAGAATTAACGACGCCTAAATACTTTATAAAAGATAGAAAAACTGTTAATAATTATTGACATTTTGTCTTGTTTATAGTGTCATGAAATTTGCAATTTGTAAATACCGGTAATATAGGTTGTATGCCACTATGTAAATTAAAAATGAAATAAATAAAAAAATATGTTAACTTTGCTGATCAATGCCCCACCTCCAAATGAAAAGTGTCCCGGAAATGAGTCTAAAATTATGGCATGTATGATTTAAGTCAGAAAACAGGAAGTGGATAAGCGACAGATCGGAAATCAAATCACAGGTTCTAGGCCTATGACTTAATGCTTTATACCAAATATCAAGAAGCTGTGATAGGTACTTGCTTAGAAAACTGATAAGACAATTTCCTACCATTGATCATTAATGTTGAAAATTTATCCAAGTCGGCAAACAGGAAGTGGATAAGCAACAGACCTGAATTCAAATCCCACCTTATGGGACCACGTGATAATGCTGTATACCAAATATCAAGAGGTGTGATAAGTAGTTGCTGAGGAAACTGTTACGACAATTTCCTTCCACTGACCATTAATGTTGAAAATTTATCCAAGTCGGCAAACAGGAAGTGGATAAGGGACATATCTGAAATCAACTCCCACATTATGGGACCATGTGTTAATGCTGTATACCAAATATCAAATGGCTGTAGTAAGTTGTTGCTGTGAAAATTGTCACGAAAATATTTACCCCGCCCGCCCGCCGCCCGACATTCACCATACTATAGCCCGGATTGGCACCTGTGCAACCCGTCAAATAATGAGAATTCTTTTCTGAGTTGTATTATCTAATTATTTTCTTGTATGTATGATACATTATCATTCAGCAAAATTATTTCCTTAGATATATTATAATTAGGGATGGCAACGAATACCAAAATTAATACTCGAGTACTCGGTCATTTTTCCGATCGAGTACTCGGTTACTCGGACGATTTCCAATGATCTTCAAAGTTTATCACACAATATCAACACCGTCCGCATGCTACTTTTGTTTTCTATTTACATTCATAGAATTCGTAACTATAGATAAGACTGCAAAGGAGACAAATTAATAAAAATTAAACCAACGACATTATACTTTAGAACATTTTAATTAATGCCATATCAAGTTTAAAACATGTTTAGCAGTTGTAACATCTGTTTCTTCTTGTAATAAAATAGACTGATCGGCGGCAACAAAAGTTTAACCGGGTCTAAATACTACATGTACCTTAATTATTATATCATAATAGCAATACGGCCCTTTGTTGTTTTCAAAAATGTTACCTTAAAACAAGATTCGGGTACAAACTGCATTGTGTTACACAATTAAAGGTTACTAAATATCATAAGAGGCCGGATGACGTAAGCGACACATGTGCGCGTGTCAAACTGTTGATCGCCTCATTAAATTTATGGTATCATTTTCGCACCTCTGCAAGAAAGTTGTGATTGCATTTAACAGGTATTTATGAAGGTATATGCACATCACCGAATTTTTTAACTAATTGGATACACCAAACTGTCTAAATAGAAAATAAAATAGAAATTATACATTTTTTCCGAGTAATCGAATATCAATTTTGTTAACCCATATTCGGACGTTCGATCGAGTACTCGGTTAACCGGTTACTCGTTGCCATCCCTAATTATAATTCATTAGAGAGATATACCCTAAATATCTGATAAGAAGCTGCCTCGAAAACAAGTCTGTCTCAAACATAAGCCACCATTTTCTTACAGTCAAAATTTACTTGAAAAGCCTATTTAAAAATCAAAAGGAATATCAGATGGTTCAAACCTTTAGGGTATAATCCCAGTGGTTTTGCATGCATCAAAGATCTAAGGAACATGCATGGGCCTACTTCCAGAATGAGAAAATTGCTCCATATAGTACAATACGCTTGTGATGTCGTTAATCATCTAATTTTAAGGTCATACCGTACATCGGATTTCTCTAGATGCTTTTAACAGCATAACTTTTATAACTGATAATGTTTTTGTTTTTTTTTCTATTATGTAGGGGATATACTCCAATTTATAATCTGTATTTTTATGCAAATGCATTCAATATGTACAAGTTATTAATCCGGTTAAATTTTATCATCCCTTGTAACAATAGACAACTGGCATCATGATTTCACATAGATTGCTAACCTTTCTGCGTGCCTTGACAAGCTAAAAATACCGGTCTGCCATACAAAAATTAGTTCTCTTAAAATCATGAATGTAAGTAATACATGTACTGGTATATTAACTGGAAACAAACAATTGAAACTTGAAGATTTACCTCTTTCAGTTTGGACATCTGTGTTTCAAGTTTATTTTTGAGCTCCTCATATTCTTCTTTAGTTGGAGCATTTTCCATTTCTTCCTTGATTTGTCTAAGAATTTCTTCAAACCCTTCAGTTGTAATAATGAAGTCTTTCTTCTTCAGCTGATGAAAAAAAATTGTTATATTTTCTTTTAGAGAAACAAATGTAGCTAACGAATTTATAATAGTTATTTTCTTCACAACATATTATATACTATTATATAAGGTCAAACTTTATTTCAAAATTATCTGAAGTGCTCTTTAAGTTATTTTAACTCTCACACGTTTAAGTGGACTTCTTAATTCTTCTTTTATATCAGGGTGTTTGGTATAGGTATCTGGCCCCGTGTTCACAAAGAAAATATCAGGATCAGTTGATCCTGATTTTATTTTCATTGTTTTATAAAACTAAAACTGACCGTATTATGCTAGAAACAAATGGAACATATTCAAAATATATATAATTGCTTATTTGCAAAGAAACCATCCAATTATGGGATAAAATCAAGAAATAAGAGAACAAATGCAAAAATAAACGGATCAAAATGAGGATCAATTTTAGGATTAAGATCAAAATTTGGATCAACTGTAAAATAACTATTTCTTGTAAAAAAAAAACAATAAATTCATTCTAAAATTTCATAAACGTGCTATTTCAAGTCCAGTTTTATCAAGTTTATACTGAAAATTCAATCTAAGAGAATAAATACTGGAGAATATTTGAGTTTTTAAATTTGATCCTGATCTTGATCCTGATCTTTAAATCTTTGTGAACACGGGGCCTGGCTATCAGCCTATATTTTCTTACTTTTGTTTATTTCTACATCTATTTCAGTGTAACATGAGACTTACCGAAAAACTCGAATTTTTAGATGGTTCGGGGATACGTATTATACTTCTCAGTATCTTAATTCCACACTTAAATCAAGGGTTTGATATGCTTGGCTGGTTAAGGGGTCAATATATATGGTTTTCAAAGCAAATTGGCAGATATTTACATTTTGCAAAGTAGTTTGAAGTTCACAATTTAAAAGTACGAAAATTCAGAGGTATGAATTATACAGGTCATAGCTAATTGGAAGATACAAATGTTTTGCAGGTTTTATTATCTCAAGTCTTATGAACCTTCACATCCTTTTTCTATTTTTTGATATAATTGGAAATAAATATTTTATTGATATTTTTCAATTTTAACACAAAATTGTTTGGAATTTAGAAGTCCTGAAATTCAAAGGTATGAATTATATCAAATTTCGGAAACCTGAAAATTGTTTGGATTTTAGAAGTTTTTCTGATTTTTCTGATGATTTAAGAAGTTCCGGATTTCCTAAGTTACTCTGTGCTAATCAATTAGATCTCTTTTCTTTATATTTTAACAGTTTAAAGGTACATAATTATGTATTTTTTATGTGACTTTATCAATTAACTTAAGGAAATTTTCTTTTGAATTTGACTATAATTTACCAGTTCAAACTTTGTTACCTAAACTTTGTCCTAAATTTTGACTCAGACTTGTGTTATCTTAAATCATAATATGTTAAGTCCATAAAGATTTCAAACTGACATAATTCACTATAATTTCAACTTTACATCTTGAAGTTTCTTCACCGCTATTGGGTATCTGATCGTTGTAATAGCTCCTTACCATCATGTAAAACTTTTATCATATGGTCAATATAAGAATTTGCCTCACTTTCTTCTAATTCCATACTGCTTGAGTGAAAAATATCATTCCTGTACTGACGAACCTATTAGATAGAAAACACATTAAGTTCACTATTGTTCTATTGTTGCACAAATATACTGTGCTTAAAAAGCAATAAAAATTGTTTTGTTGTAAATTGTTTTTGTACTAAACTACATATAAGATGCAATCATGCATTGTACCAGGCCTTTTTCCTATATTTTGGAAAAATGCTACAATTGGCAAATTTGGTATAACTGTCTCTTAATTTTCTTTTCAATTTGTGGGAAAAATAATTGTGAAATTTATCATTTGGTAAAAATATGCCAGCATTCAAGATGTTAAAATTCTTTGAACGAGCTAAATAAATCTTGTTGAAACTGATCAGAAATTAAAAGATTTCCAAAACGTCCAAGACCTCGACACCAAATACAACAAAAGCAGTGTCACCCAAGTGACGAATGCCCCCGAAAATGTTTCTTAAGCATGCAGTATTATGAAAAGAACAGAGAATGAAAGTAACTGATAGCTGAATATTGTTCTTTGTATTATTGTACCTGTAATCTGTAATTGTGATAGCATGAACCTTCAAAATATAAGAGTGACATTGACCTTTGAAGAAGAGACGTGGTTTCTGG